TTCTCCAGACTTCCAAAGTTTCAGATCGCACGAACTGATAACTCTGTGTGTACACACAGGGCAGACATTGAGGGCTGCAGATCATTTCTTCCCAAATCCAAAATAGCCACCTACTAATTGTAATAACAGAATAATAAAATGAGATTCGTATTGGTCAGCTGTTCATCTGAAGACAGCACAGGAACTTGATTCAATCTCTGCCATTAATTAACTGATATCAGCATTCGTTAAAATTTAATGAGAGCCTGTTCCTGGGTGTTATAATTCTAAACCAGGTGCCACCAGTGCAAATACTCAGGCCCCTGGAGTTCACTTTTCATGGGAACATGAAGAAATGGCTTTGTTTTAGTTTAATTTTATTTTTAGTTTAGCAACTGCTAGTTTGGTCTCCAGTGGTAAATTTGCAATAGAATGGATTCATGGAAATATAAAGGCTTAACAGAGAAATGGAATTCAGTCTTTGTATTCTGAACATGGATAGGAGTGATGGAACCATGAAGATTTTGCTATAAATGTTTGTGCCACTCAGATTTTACTTTTGCTGTGCTAAGACAGGATGCTGGACATTATTTTTAAACATTAACATGCCCATATCTGTTAGCAGTACAAGTTTCATTGCTTGCTTTCGAGGAGGTCACGCTGCAGGGAAAGGCAGATTCCAGCCTGGAGGAATGCCTGAAGCCATCCTGATATCCCATGTTCCTGCCTGTGGGGCCTGCTGGGAGACCTGGCTTCTGATAAATGGGTTTTGTGGAGGTGAGAGGCACTGATGGGTGGAGGGGGGAGGGCCAGGAGTGGTTTTGATGAGACAAAACTCATGGGCCTCCAGATGATTGCTCAATCAGACTGAAGGATTGGAGCAGAGCTGCTCCTACTGCCAGATGATCATTATGTTATGGAAGAGGTTTGGATGGAAGAACTTGGGAATTCAGTGATAAAGTAATGATGAATCCTCCCCAGACTTGTCAGATATCCCATGGCAGGAACTCTGCCTGTTTGCTGATGATTGAAAAAGACATCTTGGCAGACCCAAATCAAAGACTTCCTCAGCTTTGGAGGGCTTGAGCCTTTTAACCACATGGTAATTATGAAGACTATAAATAACACCGAAAAATCCAGTTCAAACAGTCCTCAATAAATTATTTTAATGTGCTGTTATTGGCCCCCTCCTTCAGGATCTCACAAGTCTGCACTGTCAGTCTGACAGGCTGCAATGTGCTCTGTCAAATCAACAGCTCAGCTCTGTCTTACAGACTGAGGGAAGCCTTGATTCCCTGTTTGTGGATGTGGCATTTGGGGACATGGGGCAGTTCTAGGGGAACAGCTTGACTCAATGGTCTCAGAGATTTTCCAGCCTAAACCATTCTGTGATTCCATGCAAGATTCACCCAATGTGAGGAAAGTTTTTTTCACCTGAAAGGATATTAGGGAGATCCATCAAAAGACTTGTCTGGACTATTCTCTCCACGTTTGCCAGATGAAAATGACTCCAGGAACCCATGAATTGTGGTTTTCTGGCCCAGCTCCTTGCTGAGGGAGCCCAGGACAGCTGAGTGCAGGCTCTGTCCCTAAGCTGGGCAGTGTCACCCACCCAGTGCTGCTCTGGAGGTCACAGCTTGGGCTCAGTGCTCTTGGAGGTATTTTCCAGCCTCAATTAATCTGGGATTCTGTGAAATATTACGTCTAGCTCTGGGTTCCCACATGCAGGAACAGTGGCAAAATTCAGTTTTCTTTCCTCCTAATCAGTGATGAATGTCTGCCTTGGAAACCTCTCCAAGTATTTACACTCTGGAGCAGGGCTGCTTCAGCTGGAACACTGCAGACCTGGGGATTTTCTTCCTACTCCCAGCTGCTGTGGACATTACCAGGTGTAAATCTCTGTCTGCTCACCAGTCTCAGCCCTCCATGCTGGTTTTGATGTGTGCCACATTTGAGTATCTTTCCAAACCATGGAAAAGGTTTGTCCATTTTCCAAACAGAAAATGTCCCCCACTATCTGTGTGCTGGAAATGACAAAAACACTCTTTTCCTGTTCAGTCAGAAAAGGTTTCATGTTATCAGTACTTGCAGGAGAACAGAACTAAGAATTTACCTTTCAAAGCAGTCCATACTGAGAAGTAAGCACAGCTTTTGAACCCTTTTAATTATCTTTAAACTGCACACTGGAGCATCTTTGCAATGTTTTAGGTGTACAAAACAAACAAGAACCTGCATCAAGTAATGCCAATACCCACCCTGAAAACAGAGCTCACAGCTCCAAAACTGAGGAGTGTGTGGAAACCCTGCTGAGCCCTTACTGCACCTTTAGGCAGCAAAATCCCTTTGAAAATCTGGGCTTTAGGCCCAGCCCTGCCAAGAGTTCTCTTGGAAAGCTCCTCCTCCTGCCTGGGGCTGACCCTGGCACAGCTCTTGTAAAGGCTCAGCTTTCCAAACAGCCTAAAGCAGGCGGGAGAAAATCATGTCAGAAGTGGCAAATAGATGAGTTCCCAGATGATTGATTCAGATCCTTTCAGAGACAGGAATTCTGATTTGGGAAAAGCTGGAAAGCACTGCTGACTCCTCTCTGGTGCCAGTCTGTGTGTGGCCACTGTGGAATGTGCTCCATATGCCCTTTGGACACGTGTCAAAAGTCACATGTCATTAATTTCTCCAAACTTTGCAGTATTAAAGGTGTAGGAAGGTCAGAGAAATGGAAAGTGCCTTATAAATGTGAAGAATTATTTCCTGTGGTTTAGTTATTTTACTTTTTTCAATCCAGATTTTTTCCCTAATGTCGCTATTTGAGCTCTGCACATCTGAGATATAAATGAGAAATAAATGGCTTGGAACAAAAGGGACATTTAACAGAAGATTGCACCGTGTAACTTTTGTAGATTCATTAAAGGCAGGTTGGATTTAGTGGCACTCGTGGCTCCAAAGATGCTGCCCTGGATCCCTGGAATGTCCAAGGCCAGGCTGGACACGCTTGGAGCACTCTGGGACAGTGGAAGGTGTCCCTGCCATGGCAGGGGTGGCACTGGGTGGGATTTAAGGTCCCTTCCACCCCAAACCATTCCAGGATTCTGCTTGCTCACACAGGTCCCTGCATTTGGATAAGCAGAAGAGTGGATGGAACTTGCCTGACTCTCCTCATCAGCAGTGCTTACAGACTGAGGGAACAAACACAATTCCAAGGCTTGTTCCATTCCCAACAGAGAAAAGAGCAAAAATCATCACTCAGAAGCAACACTATGTCAGACAGACATCCAAAAAATTATTATTAGATATTTCAAAAGAAGCATTTTTAATGGCAATTGTTCTATGTGGGATTTTTTTCTTTTTTTAATTTCAGAATGAAGTATTTGAAGTCTTTAATTGTGCTGGCGAAAAGCCACTAAAGAGGCTTTGATTTTTGGAAGCAAATCCATGTGACTGATCCGAGTGGGATCATAATGGCTACAAGGACCCATCCATTAGGAGCTATTTTTAACAATGAAGTCAGAACTGGAATGTGAAAGTAAAGCTAAAGCTAAACTACAAAAAGGTAAAACTTACCTCAACTTCTTAAAGATTAAACTGTCCTGCAGTGACAAAGTAGCTCAAGTTATTCCTGGTGCCCATATCCCAACCCATATTATCCCAAGTTATATTATTCCTAAACATCTACCAACAAAACTCTGAGTACAGACAGTGCTCCTACACTGAATGGTCAAGGTATGTTGGAGTCCTTCCCAGCTTTTTTTCCTGTTGCTTTTTGCTTTACTTCATTATTGGTTTGTGCTTTTACATCTTTGACCTGTCTTTCATTTTGTTCCTGTCTGTATTGTTCTGCTTTCACGGCTTATTTGTTCTCAAGTGTTTTTGGCAACTCCCTGCCTGGTTTCAGTCATACAGGATGATGTTCTGCATCCAGCACTCCATGTGCAACAGGGAGCAGAACACAGATCCTCATGGTATCCAGTAAACAAAAAACAGAGATAGAATCCCAGACTGGTTTGGGTTGGGAGGGATCTCAAATCCCACCCAGTGCCACCCCTGCCCTGGCAGGGACACCTCCCACTGTCCCAGGGGCTCCCAGCCCCAGTGTCCAGCCTGGCCTTGGGCACTGCCAGGGATCCAGGGGCAGCCACAGCTGCTCTGGGAATTCCTGTGCCAGGGACTCCCCACCCTCACTGTAGAAGTCTGCCTAATATCTGATCTAAACCTCTCCCCCTTCCGTTTAAATCCATTTCCCCTTGTGCTGCTGCTAAAGGCGATGGCAGGGGGTGATGAGCTCGTTCTGGGCCATGCAAAGGGCTCTGTGAGCACACAGAGCTCAGGGCAGGAGGCCAGCAGCTTCCAGAGGGTGGGATGGGTACACAGCATCTCCTCTGGGAAACGGGGATAGATGGAGGGAGCAGAACTGCGAGAACTGCTCAGGGTGAGCAACTGGGCTGAATCAAAGTAGGGCTGGGGGAAGGACAAAGCATTGCCCAGAGCCATGGGGATGGGAGAGCACTGGGGAAAACGTGATGGTGAGTTCAGGCTGGAGAGGAGCAGGCTCCAGCAGAACTCAGAGCCCTTCTAGGGCCGGGAGGGGCTCCAGGAGAGCTGGAGAGGGACTGGGGACAAGGCATGGAGGGACAGGACACAGGGAATGGCTCCCACTGCCAGAGGGCAGGGATGGATGGGACACTGGGAATGAGGAATGGCTCCTGGGGGGGTGGGCAGGGGCTGGCACAGGGTGCCCAGAGCAGCCAGGCTGGATCCCTGGCAGTGCCCAAGGCCAGGCTGGAGCAGCCCGGGATGGTGGAAGGTGTTCCCGCCATGGCCGGGGCTGATCCCCGGGCGGGTGCGGGGCTGCGGCGAGCGCACGGCGGTGCCGGTGCCGGTGCCGGTGCCGGTGCCGGTGCCGTTCCCATTGCCGATCCCAGCGCCGCTCCCATCCCCGCCGCCGGCGCTGTGGCGGCCCGGGCGGGGCGCGGGGAGGGAGGGGCGGCGGTCACGTGTGGCCGCCCGGTTAAAGCGGCCGCGGGCGGCGGGAGCGGCACAATCACGGCTGGGGCGGCGAGCGGGGCCCGCCCGCTGCCCGCGGCCCCCGCTCCGTCCGCAGCGCCCCGGCCCGCACAGCCCCGCCAGCATGGCCGGGGCCATCATCGAGAACATGAGCACCCGCAAGCTCTGCATCGTCGGGGGCATCCTGCTCGTGCTCCAGGTCATCGCCTTCCTGGTGGGAGGGCTCATCGGTGAGTGCCGGGGGCCGCTGCCTTCCTCCTCCTCCTCCTCCTCCTCCCGCCGCTGCCCGCTTGTTTAGTGCTGGTTACAGTATCGCTGACTCGCTCCCATGATCTCATTATCCGCTTTTGTAGCCGAGCGATCCCGGCTCCGGGCCCTTTGTGCCCGTCCCGCGGCTGCTGCGGGGGGAGCCGGCCAAGGAAAAGTTTTTGTGTCGCTTTCTCTTTTTTTTTTTTTTTTTTTTTTTGGCCTGGTTTCAGCCTGGACTTAAAGAAAGAGGGAAGTGGGAAAGCTTCAGTATGGCGACGGAACGCGCAGGGAGCCTCGCGTTTCAAAGTTGGCTTAGAAAATAATAATAATTTATTTTTTTAAAAGGATTTTTCCTCCCTTCTTGGCGCTGCACCTCCCCGTGCCTCGGCCTCCGAATCGGCCGCGGGAGGAAACCTCCCCCTTGCCAGAATGAGAACAAAAAAAATATTAATAAAAAATCTAGGGAAAAAATAAAAAAAAAAAAAAAAAAAGGAAAGGAAGGCAAAAGGGGAATGACTGGTTGGAGGGGGTGTCCCGGCTCTGGGGTTTTTTCGGGACTCGCGCTTTGTCCGGGCTCGTTTCTGCGGGGATCCCCCCACTCCCTCCCGATCCCATTCCCGGAGGGGTCCCCTCTCCTCCCTCCCATCTCCCGCTCCTCTTCCAAGAGGAGCCCCCTCCGTCCCACCGCCCGCTCCTGCTGCAGGAGCTTCCCCCATTCCCCATCCCCTCCCAGGAGAAGCTCAAACCCGCGTGGGCTCGGCCTGGGTTTGTTCCTGCCCGTGCAAAACCCTCGTGGCCGCCCAGGCAGGGATTTCATCCCCGGCTCCCCTCGGCTCTGGGTCCCCAGCTCCGCGCCGGGCACTCTAAAGCCCAGATTGTGTTTGTTTATCCCTGAGCATTCCCAAAGACAGGGAGACGGGCACTGGGACACAGCCCTGCGGCGAGCAGAGTTTTCCCTGGGGCATGGAAGGAGGAAGATGGAGGAGAGCGAGTTTGGGGCAGTCCTGGGAGTTTTTAAATTTTTTTTTTTTTTTTTTTTTACTAGAAAGCAGCTGAGTTCTGCGCCGGCTCCTTGGAATGCTGGGCACACGGATGTGGCTGCTTTGGCCATTTGCAGGGTGGGAATGTTGCCCTCCTGTCCGGGAAGGGCTGTCCAGCCCTGCGGGGCATCCCTGGGGCAGGGCCGGCTCCCCGGGCCCAGCCCTTCCTCCAGATCCCTGCGAGCTCTGCGGCTTTTCAGGAGGAATCGGGGTCAAATTCACTCCCAAACTTTGTTGCACTTGGTTGGGAGAACAAAGTCGGGCTGTTCTCTCTCTTTGAGAGGGATCGAGGGAATAGCTCCGGCCGTTCCTCAGGAAGCAGGCTCTGTGCTCCTGGTGTCCGTCAGTGCTTTGCCTTCGTGGCCTTGAATTATCAGCCTCTAATAACCATAAAATTCCACTAAACATAATTTTGGAAAACTTCAGTTTCCCTCATTCTCTTACTTCCTCACCTCCGTCACAAGGGAGTTGCTGGCACATGTTGACTAAAACTCATTTTTCCTGCTCTTGCAGGCCTGAAACCACACCAAGTTTATCAGGATTAGCTTTTTTCCTTCCTTTCTTTTTTTTTTTTTCCTTCCCTCTTTAAGAGCTGGTTCAAGAGCAGGTTACTGAACCCACTGCTGATTCCTGAGATAAAATATCTTGGCCTGTGCTGTGCAGAGAAACCAGACTTCATCTTAAAAGAGTTTTTTTCTAGCAGTTTCTTGCTGCTAAATTGAAATAGTTGCTTTTTTCAAAGGTGTTGCTCAGAAAGCCTTGTTTGTGCTGGCATCTGGGAACAGATGTGACAAACAGATGTTTAGGGTTGTCTTTACAGGGAAAAGACAAATGTTTCTGCTCAGTTTTGAAGGGATTCAGAGATGAAAGTATTTAAATTATGTTAGTTCAGTTTTCCAGCTGGTTTATGCCCTGCTTTATTGGCTGGTGCTGCTTCTGGGCATCCACCTTGCGCCCTCCCATCCTGGATGGGTCTCCCAGGTGGGGCATGGACAGGTTGGATGGGCTGGGACCAGCAAGGACAGGGATTTGGGGCTGAGTTCAGTGCCCGGCACGAGCTCAGTCACTGCATCCTGCTGGAATTCCTGCACGAGCTCTGTCACTCCATCCTGCTGGAGTAAACGCTTTTTCTATCTGTGGTCAGGTCCTAGGGGTTGCTGCCCCAAAAGTTCTTTAATTCCTGGAAGTCCCCACTTTGATCCTTCCTCAGATCAAACTGCTCTAATCAATCACCCAAACTGTTCTTTCCTCTGCAGCGTTTACCCCTTCTGATGCATTTAGGGAGTTTAGAGGCTCATCCCTGAGCCAGCAGCTCCCAGGAGCTGCAAATCCAGGGATATCTGGTGCTTGTGAAACACTAAGTGCCATGTGTAAGCTAGGTGTGGTCCCCGGCATCTGGCAGGGTCACACACAGCCTGGGAGGCTGAGCAGCTCTTCCTGGGAGCCTGCCTTGTTCTGGGCTCCCTGTATCCCTGGAAACTCTGATCCAGGGTCTTGGGCCTGACCCCTTTAGTGGTTCCCAAGCGTGTGTTTCCCACCAGGAAATCCTCTGGTGAGCAGCGGGCTGCTGGCCGGCGTTCCGGAGGGATCAGAGCCGTGCATTGGCAGGAGAGAGCTGCCAGTGCCACCCCACAGCTGCTGCCAGGGGTGACACCAGGTGGGCTGGGAGCAGAGGTGGCACTGACACAGCGGCCCCACTCTGGTTTGATCCAGCGCACCCAACAGACACCAAAATCCGGTTATTTTGGTGTGCCCAGGTCTAGACAACCCAAAATACGTACACGAGTGGGACAGGGCTGCTCAGCCCAGCCAGCCTTTCCCCTCGCAGGCACTTAGGTCATGTTTCAAAACAATGACTAAGTGCTCTATTTTAACAGATCCCTCGTGCCAGTCCAAAATACCCAAATGCAGCACGTTGGTACCTGATACAACCACCACAAAGCTGATTTTCCTCACATCAGGGGGTTTCTGCCGCTGCTGGTTCCCAGCTCGGTTTTGGGCAGTCACTTTGTGATGCCAGAGTTTGAATGCAGCTTCCACATTTCCAACAGCACTTTTATTTAGCAGCAGGAGCCTTATCAGCTCTCAGGTGGGATTTGCTGAGAGCTGTCTGTTGGCAAAGCACGAGATGCACACGGATGGGAGAAATTCCTGTGGCAGGAGGAAGCTCCTGTGCCAACAGCTCCCTGACAGGAGCGTGCAGCCAGGTGAGGGTCAGGCTCTGCTGTCAGGGAACAAGGGCCAGGATGAGGGGAAACAGCCTTAAGCTGTGCCAGAGGAGGTTTAGGTTGGATATTTGGGAAAATTTCTTCATGGAAATGATTGTTCAGCCCTGCTACAGGCTCTCCAGGGCAATGGTGAAGTCCCCGTGCATGGAGGGAGCTTTGCAAAGCTCAAAAGGGAGCAAATACCCCAAAAGAGAATTTTATTGAGCTGTTTCTTTGCTGTGCCTTGGTAATGAACTGTTGGCTCCAGAAAGTGGGGCTGTCACTACTTGAAACCCCACAGGATTGCTGGTGTCTGCTCCCTTCGTGGAAAACATCTTGTTTAAAGGTCACGCTTCTGGGCTCTGTGTGATGTGTTCAGTTGGGATGCAGCAGTGGGAGATAGAACATGATCCACAAAATTAATCCTAATGCAGCCTTGTCTCCACTATCCTGCTGTAAATGATGGCACGTGTGGATTACAGGAGACTGGGATCACCAGGAATGGTTTCTGTTATCGTTTGTGAGGGATGGGGCTGATGATAATTTACAGGCATGCCAGCATTCCCGGGAGCCCCTGCCTGCTCTGCCTTCCCTGCGTCCAGTGTGGCTGTCCTGGGATGCCACCAGGCTTGTGACAGCCCTGGACAAGGCATGAGGACAAACCTTGCACCTCCAGTGCTGGGGCAGTGTTGGATCTCTCAGAACAAGAGAGAACCCGAGGGGCTGGAACATGTCCAGGGCAGGGAACAGAGCTGGGAAGGATCTGGAGCCCCAGGAGAGGCTGAGGGAGCTGGGGAGGGGCTGGAGAATCCCTGAGGAGCTGGGAAGGGGCTGGACAATCCCTGGGGGAGCTGGGAAGGGGCTGGACAATCCCTGGGGGAGCTGGGAAGGGGCTCAGCCTGGAGCAAAGGAGGCTCAGGGGGCCCTTGTGGCTCTGCCCAGCTCCTGCCAGGAGGGGACAGCCGGGGGGTCGGGCTGTGCTCCAGGAACAGGGACAGGAGCAGAGGGAACGGCCCCAGGCTGGGCCAGGGCAGCTCAGGTTGAATATGGGGAAAATTCCTTCCTGGAAAGGATCTCCAGCCCTGGCACAGCTGCCCAGGGCAGGGCTGAGTCCCCATCCCTGGAGGGGTTTAACATCCCTGTGGATGTGGCACTTGGGGACATGGGGCAGTGGTGTCCTTGGCAATGCTGGGAATAGTTCAATTCCTGGCCTAAAAGGGCCTTTAACCTAAACAATTCCATGGTTGGACCAGCTGCAGCTTCCACCTGGCTGTGCCTGCTGATGGGAATTTTGGCTGGGATGTTCCAGTGGAGGTTACCACGACTGCCAGGCCAAAGCTGAGCTGGGACACAGCAGTGTCCTCCTGACAGCTGCCAGGATGGAAGTTGTGTGTGCAGAATCTGACTGGATTTATGTGGGTTTGGTGCCTCTTGGTTGTTTGGAAAGCAAAGCTTTTGATTACAAATTGTCTGTCTCTGTGGGAAGCTGTTGGTGTCCCTTCCTAGTTGCCTTTTCATCTTGGAATCTTTATATATATAAAGTTATTTTATATATGTATATATAAAGAGAAAAAAAAAAAAAACAACCCAGATCTCTGTGCAGCAACATCTCAACTTTGAAAACTTTTTGAAATGAATTCTTTTATATGAGTTCCTTTAAAAATCCCTTCCAACTCAAACTTCTGTGATTCCAAGGATGCCTTATCCGCAGTCACAGATCCTTGGTTCAAAGAA